TGGCGCGGCTGTGGCCGGGGACCCTGGCCGGCTGCGCCGAGGCGGGGCGCTGCTGCCCGGGCCGGGACGCCGCCTGCTTCGTGCTCGGCTGGAGGTTGGACAGGGTTTACGGGACGTGCTTCTGCGACCAAGCCTGCCGCCTCACGGGGGACTGCTGCTTCGACTACGCCAGGGCATGCCCAGGTGGGTGGCGGGGCCCGGGGAGGGGGGCGGGGGGCGCCAGCCCTTCGCCAGCAGCCACGGGGTACAGGATCCCACACCAAGAACCGCAGCCCGGGAGCCAGGATCCCCCCCGGCCCCTTCCATCCTGGCGTGTCCGGACCGTCTATCCTGGCCTACCCCTCACCCCTCCATCCAGGTACACCTCCCTCCATTCTAGAGTCCGCCAGGCTCCTTCATCTAGGTGCACTCAGCTCCTACCCCCCACCCCATCCTAGAGTCCTCCAGACCCCTCCCTCCCTCCAGGTACACCCAGCTCCATCTATCCTAGGGCCCTCCAGCCCCCTCCATCCAGGGATCCCCCAGTACTCTCCATCTACACATAGCACTCCAAAGCACCTCTCCCCATGAGAACCTGGATGGAAGGGGCTGGAGCTATCTGTTCTCCTGGAAGTGTGTGGGGTTCAGGAACTCCAGCCTGATAGGGCCCCCTCCTACCTGGAAAGATGGCATGTCCTTGGGCCAGGCTCCACTGCGTTCATTCTGTTAACCTTCAGGGATCTTCAGGGCCTTGTGAGCCGTGCAAAGGGAAGGGATGTGTAATTACCCCACTGGGTGCTCTGGTAGGGTACCCACTTCTGCAGAACAAGTTCTCGGAAGACCACAGCGGTCCTCACTTCTGGACTCCAGCATGTGCCACAGCCCCTTTCTCCCGGGAGGTGTTTGATATGCTCTTTGAATTCAATTTTATCTCTATAGCATGATGAAGGTTTTTATCTGGGGGTTCCTATTATGTTTTCATCCTGCTGGTTTTCCTGTAGGGTCAGTCTTTTGCATCTTTCAATTTCCCACAGTATCACAGCCCCTGGTAAGGGCTCAATAGATGCTGATTTATGTAAATTAAAAGATGAAGAAATGGTGAGTATAGTCCTAAAGAACAAGGTTTACCTGAGAGAAGCCAGCTCTAGAAATAAAAGTAACCTTGTTCCCTGCTCATATGCCTCACGTATGTTAGGGTTTGGCCTCAAGGATCCCCGCGTTGATATCCTCAGCGTCTTCTTGGGAGAATAACCCGCAGGTCCGTGTCATTACTTGGGGAATCGGATGCCCTGTCGAGAAGCTGGAAGAGGCCACCAGCCAGGCAAGATAGCACCCAGATTTGCTCCTGAAAGAACACAATTGAAAAACATGAAGATTTTTTTGATCCTGTTTGAAAGCTAAGCTAATGATTAACCTACAAATATTGATCCTCTTTTTGATAAGCCTCTCTCCCTTTCCTGCTTCAAGGCCAGGGTATTTTACTACTCAAGTAAGGTGAAGAGTCAGTTATTTAGGAAATGCAGTGCCCCCGGGCCAGGGTCCCCAGGGCGTCCGAAGAGCATTCGATGCAAACTCCTGTCTTCCCGTAGACCAGATAATGTGCCCCGCCCTGTGGGAAGCACAGGGCTACAAAGAAGATGAAGACACAGTCTCTGCTCCCTACGAGTTCACAGTCAAGCAGGGGACTACCCCTGCGAACCACCTACAACATGCTTGGTGCCCAAATGAGGGGTCCAGGAGGCTAGGAAGGGAAAACTCGGAAGACCCAAGGGATTCAAGGAAAACTTCCCGGAGGAAGTAACGTGCAAGCATGGTCCTGGAGAATGAGCAGGAAGTCTCCAGAAGGGGAAGGAGAATTCTAGCAGGAAAGCATCACGTGGTCACTCGCAGCACCTGTGGTGCCGGGAACTGGGCTCGGTCCTGAGGCTACGCTGGTGGACAGGGCAGGAGGCGAACCCAGCTGGACCCGGAGAGACTCAGGCACCGAAGAGGCATGCGTAGGACAGCTCTGGGTCATGAGAAGAACTGGCTTTCCAGTGAGGGGTGGCAGAGTCCTCAAAGTCTTCATTTGGTCACAAATAAATCCTGTCTTTTCGGTGCAGGAGGTTGAACTGTTCAAGCAAAGAGCCTCTCATTGGAGCGGGGATGTGTTGGGTAAGGAGGAGCAGAGAAGAGATGACCTGACCATCTTGGGAAGGGCTCAGCAAGGAGTCCTGGCACCTTGGCGCCTGAGGAAGAGCTGCGAGCGAGTGGAGGGCATGGGAGCTGAAACCAGAAAAAGAAAGGAGCCCAAAAGAATTTTTAAAAGGAGCATATTCAGCCTAAACTGCCCTTCCCCAGGGAGTTAGCGGAGGCCCTCAAAGGCCCTCGAAGAAGCAGACACGGGACCGAAAAGGCTCCTCGTTGAGTAAATCCTCTGCGCCTGGAATTTCTGGGGAGGAGAGGAGAAAATAGAGACAGTTGGAAGTTGGCCACTTGGAGGTTGGCCTGCTTGCTCTGCTGAGCTGAGGGTGAGAAGGGGCATGGCGGAGCCAAGATGCTCCATCTCCTTAGCCCCGGCCAGGCGTCCTGGCTGTGCACTCTCCGCTGGTCTTGCCGGAGCGTCGTACAGACTCGGGAGCTGGGGTGTCCCAGGGCTCTCCCATCACTAAGTTAACATGAATGGGCAGCACAGTGACGTCTGAGCCCACGGCTGTCCGACTTCGGGCTGCCATCTGCCACATCTGCTGTGCATGGTTGTTATTGATTCCTAAATATATCAACATTCGGCAGCTCAGGGCCCGCCAGTCACTCCGTAGACATAGAACCATTCTGCCCCTTAGGATCTCTTCTCCTTACCCAATATTATGTTACCTGTCGATGCCATCTGAAACCTTTTTGACTGAAATTACGTTACATGTGAACCAAAAAGCTGTGTCAGTAGAACTAAGAATGCTTTATTTCTCTGCCTTCTGATTTTTTTCTTCTTTGTAAAGACTTTTTTTTTTTTTTTTTGGTGTAGCTAAGAGATGAAATACTGGAATTTCTTTTTCTAAATAGGACTTTTTATTTTTACTTAGTCAAAATAAAAATAAGTTATTGGATCTGTGGAATTACTGAACTGCCAAAAATATCTGTTCTGAAACAAATGATCTCAGAAAAATCTCATTATGATGTTGGTATTGGTTTCAACACCAATTATATATATCTATACCCCTCCCCCCCCCCAAAAAAAAAGGAATAGAAAATTCTCCATTGGCTGTGCCTGACCAGGGGAGAGGTAAAGGGGGACACAGATCCAAGTTACCTGCCCTGGACGAATTTCTTAGAAGGCTTCCTTTATTAGGCTCACGACGCCCCGGTCTCTAGCTCATCACCTGGGTTCCTAGAGTCTTCATTCTAAGATCATAGAAACAGTAGGCTGCACTGGATTTTTTGATGAGCAAATTCAGGAAAGAGTAATAATGAACCCAAGGGGAGCAGGGCAAACATTGAGTAGCCCATGTGAGCCAGTCTTTTCATGTAGATTTCCCGGGGAATCTAGAAACCTAACTGGCCCAAATCTGCTAACCACATACCTGGAAGGAGAAAGGGCAAGTGTACTGGAAAATATGGGCTCTAAAACTCATGCAGAGGAAGGATGTCACCGTCTACGGTGATTTAGAAAAGTTGAGGCTTTACTGGGAACCATAGCGGCCTGAGAGACAGCATGTGGCTTCCCCTGCCTTTGTCTCTGTAGGAAAAATGAGCAGGGCCTGGCGCCAGCATTCAACATGACTTGACTTTGCAGGCTTGGGCCGCAGCCCTGGGCATTCAGTGGAGGAGGGTAAAGTTGTTAACCCTTCTGCCACACTTCCTCCGTGCCAGGCACCTCACAGTTCTAGTCTTAAGTCTCCCAACCCACCGCCGTGGTCATCAGAGCGCTGGGAGGTTGGGAGATTCATCCCAAGTCATATGGCTAACAAGTGATGGAGTGAGATTTGAACCCAGGAACTCTAAGTCCAGAGCCCTTATGTTTAAACGTTATGTTTTGACCCTCCAAGGACTGAAGCTTTATGAGAAGCTGTGTACTTGGCAGGTCAAGCCCCAGATAAATACTGGTAGAGTGAGTGAGCCTTCTCTCTCCTTTGACTGATACTCCTCAAGGGCAAAGAAGTGTGTCCTGCCCCCCTGAGAGCCATGGTGGTGTCACTGAATTATGTTTGTCTCAATAGCCCGAAGGGTCATTCCACCAAGGGGATGTTGTCTGTGGCTGCAGAGGGCGCCCCCAGCTGGGCTGGAGCCACTTGTCCTTTTAAATACGACTCTTTCCTTCCTTGTCTACAAAATATGTTTGTTGCAGAAAACTTGGGAAATACAGAAATGCACAAAAGAAGAACACAACTCACCTGGACACTGACTACCAAGTAAAAGCATAATTATCTTTATGATTTGTGTGCCCTTTTTCTCTGGGCTTACATGGTGTATAAAATTCTGTTTTTTTCTAATGAGGGAGTCCTTTTTATTGTCCCTCTAGGATTTCATGAACTTGTCCAGTTAATATCTCAAAAGAAAACAAAAACCCACTGGGGGCCAGATAACATGGTTTCTGCAAGAGGAAAAAAATACTTGATCATTTTATTGGAGCTTTCAGAGGGGGCGGTAAATAGGCACTTGGGCAATGTAGTCTCATTTGACCTTCAGGGAAGATTTGACAAGATTTCTCAGAAAAGGGGATACATGAGGAAAGAGAAAAAGGCCTATGACATTTAAAATCATGTTACCATGAGGGGCGTGTGTGTGTGTGTGTGTGTGTGTGTGTGTGTGAGTGAGTGAGTGAGTGAAGGGGCTGCTTTATTTTTCTTCCACAGAATGTCAAGAAACAAAAGCTATTCGTAAATGCTACTGGTGTGGGTAAAGTGCAAGAAGTATATTTTCGTAGCAGTGACTTAGGACTATTTGAACTTAACGTGAGGGAGAAAGCACTTGCTCGTGGGTGGCCTTAAACTTTTAGGCGGCAAAGAGCCAAGCAGGCAGGGCCAGATCCGTGATTAGCCAAGGAGACACTGCATGAACATGAGGGCAAGGTTTTATATTAAGACGAAAGAGCCCAAACTCTATGTAGGAAAGGAAGGATCAGCTGTCAGCTCAGTTTGTTGCTGTGAGTGAGTGTGTGTGTGTGTGTGTGTGTGTGTGTGTTATCATCAGGAAAAAGAGTAGAAGATGGGTTTTTTAGTTACCTTTTGGCACCTAAGACTGAGGATAGTGTGTCTAGTTCTGGTTGCTCCTGCTCACAGAGGCTGTGAATGGACCTGGAGAGGGCCCACTGGTAATTCTGAGGCGGGGGGTGGCTCTAGAAAGATGGGTCCCACAGCTAGAGTCATCAACCTGAAAGGTTCCTGCTAGAGAGGAAAGGACACCTCCTGAGACATGAAGTCCCTGAGCTGCATGGATAAGATAAACATAGATGGTTTTTTTTTTTACCATATTCTGAAATTCTTGAGTGAGGGAAATTTGGATCAAATAAGAGGAAATAGCTCCCCATGCCACTGATAATAAAATGAAACAAGCTTGTTATTTTCAAGATGTGGTACTGGCAGGAGCTATAAATGGATTTAAAAGCATTTGAAGGATTTGTGGCTGCCAGGAGAAGCTGGGATCTACATAACCTGAAGGCACAGAAAGCCACGCTCCTTCCAGGGACACCTTTTGGGGCCACCATTGCCGGGAGAGCCCAGACAGCTCTTACCTTGTTAAGAATTCCCATATTTTTGGCTCTGGGAGCTTCTGATTTATTTTGCTCCTGTCCTTTAGCCGGCTTTCCTTTCCCACTCTGGAGCCTTAGTCAGTGCTTTGGCTTCTAACTAACGATATGAACAAACCAGAATCTGTTTCAATGTAGAAAATTTGTTTAGGAAGGAGGAGGAATTTGTCCAATGCCATTTCTTTCATTCACTCATTCATTCAACAAATATTTATTGAGCACCTACCATGTGCCAAGCACCAGGCACGAAATGAAAAGCTCAACGACAATAAAAAAGTAAATAAATATGTAAACTATGTAATTATGAATTAGGGAGATATTAGAAAGCAAGGAACACTGAGCTCTGAGAGGAAGTAATTTTCAGGTGTGGCAGGTGGGAGGCTGGAGGTGGCATTGGGAGAGTCCTTAGATAATCTGGCCAGAGAGGGACTCCCTGAATAATTCATCTGGGACTTAAAGGATGAACCAACCCCAGCCATGCCCCATGTGGGAAGAACATTCCCATCAGAGGGACACACGGCCAAGGTTCCGGAGTGTGACAGAGTTGGTGTAAGGAGGCCAGACTGGCTGGAGCTTGGAGCAGGGGGGGCACCTCCCGGTGGGAGGGGAGGGACACAAGCTGGCTCACCCAGCACCTTGTCGGTTGCAGCGAAGAGTTTGATTTTTTTTCAAATTCAATAGCAATGCACTGAGAGAGTTTTAATTATTATTATTATACATTTAAAGCTTAGTGGAAAATCTTTTAAGGTACTTGTACTTGGATATGACTGGCTATCCCTGTGAGGACATGTGAAAAGGTGCTCTACTCTTGCTTTGGGCAGATTCCCTACTGAAATATATAACGTATTTCTCTGTTGTTGGCCATTCTCCTCGTGGTTGTGGTAGGGACATTTGATAACCAGAAAGCTCTTGAGGAAGAGGGACTAGCCAGAACTCCAGAAAGTACTCTGGATCTATCCATTATCTCGTTTCCTAGTGAGCTGAGAGCCAGGCTTGCCCACTGGGCCTAAAGCAGGAACTTAGGGATCTATGTCTCTGTTCTTTCTGTGCCTACTTCTCTGTCTCTGCTCTTATTGCACTTCTTGGGACCACCTCCCAAATAAATTACTTGCATTGAAATCCAAGTCTTTATGAGTCTGCTTCTGGGAAACTCCACCTGAATATTATATTGAGTTTAAACAAAGGAAAAAAGAAAACAGCTTGCCGAGCATTCTGGCATCCGTTAAGCCTAAGCTTCTTTTTCTTCTGAAAGGGATGGGATGATGTCATTAAGTCCTAACCATTAGGACTTTGGGAAGCTGGGATGAGCTTGGAGTCAGGGATGATCACGTTGCTCACTAGGTCTATTGGCCTCCAGTAATAACTAGGGAAATGTGAAGATTGAGAAAGTCAGATTTTAAGAAAGAATATTTTGACATGCTGGCTATAGATGTGAATACTAATGAAATAATTCAAAGGAAATGTGTGTCATGCAGCTGTAATATATGACTTGAGATGATAAATCTGTCAGAAGTTCTCGTACTTCCCCTAGCCTCTGTGGCCAAAGATCTCTTATGATCTATGACGAATTGCACTCCAAACAATCAGAAGTTCACAAGTTAATCATGAATATAATCTTTTGTGTAACATAGGAATAAATACCTCAGATTCGCCTTCCAACTCAAAATATTTTTTGGAACCCCTTTATACTTGTATAATTCTATGTGAACTTTTTTTCATTTTGTCTTATAATGAAGCCGTCAAGATGATGCTCAGGACCCAGAACTTTCTGATTTTCTTTATGAAGCTGTTAAAGTCATGGATTGGAAATATGAGACATAGCATTTTCCAAGGTCAAATGTTAACTGATAGGAACAACAACTGATTCAGTGATTCTGTGATTTGGGGATGTTAATTGTGGAGCAAACCAAATAAAATAAATAAACATTGCACATGAGACACAAATGTTGAAGAAATACCGAGAAACTAGCTTCCTTCAGAAAACTGTCCCCAGTATCATCTTTTACCGTATGGATAGAGTGTCTTCAAACCGAGACCATATTACTAAATTCTGAGTTAATGCCACGGCAAAGTTGTATTCTATAGTGATGTCCAGTGTTAATCTTTGAAATAAGTGTCCCGTTTTGTTTTTTTAAAGTATAATATTAAGCATCGTTCAAGGCCAACACATCAGGGCAAGACTAACTAGGCTCAGGGATGAAGAGATTTGGGTGACAGAGAGAGTTGTTGGAAGACTTAAGGCCAGAAGGAGTGCTTCTCATTCAGCTCCTAGCCCAGCAGGCAGTCTCTTTCAGTGTGGCTCTAGGGCCCAGTGAAATCATGGGATCATGAAAATAAAAGGGGAAAGATCCACAAGAAATGACAAGAGCAGAAAGTGGCCTGTTACTGATTTTCCAAAAGATGTGTGTGTGGCAGGTATGGGCGACAAGTCTCACGTGCCTCACCCTTGCTTCCTTACCTACCTGACGTGGGACGCCTGTGAGTTTTTAGATGATTAATAAAAGCATGTTTTAAAACAGTCTGAAGTTTTTGAATTACTGACAGATGTTTATGTTGTATGGGACCCTTTTCGTGTCAGGGTGAGCTGCGTGCTGCCAAAGGATTGGTCTTCCAAATCCATGAACCCTAAAGAGAGTGTGCTGAGAGGTCAAATGAGTTTTCAAGTACAAACTGTCAGCAGTCCAAGTCAAGATTTCAGAGAAGTTGGAGTGCTTTTTTGGTGAAGACTCTGTAAGCTTGAAAGTATGAGGATGGTAGGGAAAGTGGGTCACATTTTGTGGGAAGGAAAGAATTTGGGCCTCTAGTTCGGAGGTACATCTTTTGTTTTCTTATTCTTTTTCTTATAAACAATCTCAAGTCCTGAAGTAATTCCACTGAAAAACTCATTATATTCATTTTAAAAGATTTGTTAGGACTTTCAATGGGAAAGTTAAGTATGCAACCACATAGATTTTCCAGTCATGGCCAGAGAATTGTCACTATAGCCAAATTCTTGCCCCAGACCTGCCCTTCATGGCTGACCATGAAAGCCCAGTCTTTACCTCTGTAGGCTCTCATTGCTCTTCGGCAAACCCCAACTCTGCTGTGTAGGGGTCTAAGAGCCATGGAGGATGAGAATAGAGCGCCTAAGAGAAGTCCCAAGTCTAGAGGTCCTTTGGGGTGGCCCTATCCCATGACTGATGGAGAGACACACTTGGGGATAAGAAGTGACTTGGGCATTTTCTTTTACATTTTTTCCCTCGATGCTTTCTACGATGAATACGTATTGCTGTTACAATAAAAATGTTCTGGTAGGGGAGGATAAAGTTATAATCAAGGAACTGTAAGAGCAAAGATCTTACCTAAGCCCACGGAGTATGAGGAAGTACCCGAAGGCGTCACTCTCTTAACTCGGGGGCATCCCTGGCTCAGACCCACCCTCATGACCCCAGAAGAGCTGCCCATCTGCCCCGAAGAGGGGCGGGGTACCAGCTAACCATCCCTGTCCACTGAGCCCTGCTGAGACCGTGCCTCCCTCCCCACCCCACCCCACCCCACCCCCAGTCAAAGCAGTCAAAGCACGGTCTGCGAGGGCTAAGCTCGGCTGTTGGTGTTGGCGGCGCAGCCTGGCCGGCGGCTGGGCTTACCCAGCCGAGAGTCCCATCCCCGCCGTGCTGTTTTTCAGCTCGCCCGTGCATCGTGGGGGAGTGGAGCCCCTGGAGCGGCTGCGCCGACCAGTGCCAGCCCGCGGCCCGCGTGCGGAGGCGCCGGGTGCGGCAGGAGCCCCGGAATGGCGGCGCGCCCTGCCCGCCCCTGGAAGAGAGAGCCGGCTGCCTGGACTACTCGACGCCCCAGGGCCAGCACTGCGGGCACTCCTTCGGTACCGAGGGTTTCACGGTGGCCGCCTTTGTTGTCTGTGTTGACTTTCCATCTCGTCCTCCCCTAAAAGGCCATGTGCCGAGCGGGGGGTGGGGGGTGGGGTGGGGAGTTCCGTGCGCGGCGGGGGAGTGGGATGGGCCAGGCCACCCAGATAGGAAGCTCAGGACATGCCTGATAAAGAAGTGAGTGTCAGCTGCATCAGGGCCTCCCTACTCCACCCTCTCCGTGGTCGGTGTGTTCTTAACCCCGGGATGGCCCCCCACTTCTGTGTGTGCCCTCCGCGGAAAGGACACGTGCGTTGTGATGCTTGGCAAACTCAAGCTGGCGACAAAGGACTTTAGGTAGGATGACAGTGTTTCACACCGGATAGTAAGTGTCCATAAGGTAAGTATTCATCTTGCACCTTTAATTCCTGGGTAGTCAGGTCGGCTCATCACACACGTGTGAAGGTAATAGAAAAATTATTAATTCCTAAGCAGTGATAAATTATTCTCATAAAACACCTGCTCCTCCTCTCCAGCTGACTGCACTGGGGCTGATGTGATCAGATTTGTGATTTGAAAAGATCATTCTGGTTGTGGAGTGGCCAGTGGAGGGGCCAGAATTCCACCGATGAATGAGTCAGGAGCTGTACAAATCTCACAAAGAAATAAGCCAAAAGACCAACACCAATGTGTTGACCTCGATTGAATCTGATAGCACGCAACACTGACTTCTCAGGATAACAAAGGTCATGTGTTTTTCATAGGAACTTGGAAATGTTTATACCAACATGACACTCATCAAGCCATTTTGCTCCTTTTTTTTCACTCTATGCACGAATATTTATTAAGAGTCTACTGGTTGCCAGGCACTGGGCTGGGTGCCAGGGTTCCATTGGTGACATAAGCTGACGTGAGCCTGCTGTCATGCAGATCGCAGTGTGGTGGGGGGTGGGGGGTGATAATCATGATCTTAGGAAATCAGTCCCAGAAAATTACAGCTGCAGTTTGGTGCAACTGATCCTGAACAAGTGAGTTGTTTGGAGTTATGAGTGTGTGTAATAAGCTGATTTCCATAGGTCTTGGGGGAGGGGGGGAGCCACAGGAGTGGAGAAGGGAAGGGACTTCCGTAAGGAGGGGGAGGTAAGGCGGAGAAATGTACAACTTCCCAGAGACTGGCATGGTGTACCAGGTAGTCAGGTATAGGGGTTCGAGGGATTTGAGGGCGGATGTAGGAAAAACCGGACCACAAGAGGCGGTAATCCACAATAAGCTTTTTTGGTTGGTGCTTGGACAGAGTTGCAAGAGAAGCGGAAGTCCAGAGGCTGTGGTGTGGGGACCACCATCCAGAGGGGGAGGAGAGGAATCTGCCAGGGGCTCTGTGTCTAGGGGATGGCAACTAAGCAGCATGGTCGGGAGTCTCTGGGTCAGAGAGTTTCGAAGGGCAAAGGGTGGTAGCAGCTTGGGGTCTTACAACTCCAAGGCTTTTTAGCTCATCGATGGCCAGCAGATGCCAGGTCTGGTTTCACAGGGTATGTAAAGCAGGCAGGGCCTAAATGGCTAAAAATCTGCTTGCTTGGCAATTTTTAAAACAATTTGGGGGGAGCCTGGGTGGCTCAGTTGGTGGAGGGGCCGACTCTTGGTTTCCATTCAGGTCATGATCTCAGGGTCGAGGGATCAAGCCCTGCATGGGGCTCTGTGCTCATTGGGGAGTCTGCTTAGGACTCTCTCTCCCTCTGCCCCTCCCCCCATGTTCGCTCAAGCACTCTCTCTCTCCAAATAAATAAATGAATCTTTAAAAAGAAAAACAATTTGGATGCATAAAAATTTGAGTTTGCTGCCAGTAGGCTTTGGGGCTAACAGTTGTCAGCCCGCTGTGCAGAAGTAAACAACCTAGAGACCATCTTGGGCTCATCTCTCTAACCCCGGGGAAGCAAAGGCCCATTTGCGAGGCTGAAGGAAGGCCGGAGTCTGGGGAACACAGAGAGTGGGGCTGGCATTGAGAGGGGAAGCGTCTGTCCTGAGCTCTGCATTTAGGATTTTGGTCTTTATCTTAGGAGCCCTGGAGAGCTACTGTAGCATTTTCTGATGTGGTCAGATCTATGATTTGAAATGATGCCTCTGGTAGGGGAGTGGCTAATGGAAGGGCCAGGGGGGAGGTGTCTCGTGGACACGGCAGTCAGATGAAGCTCCCAGGGAAATAATTTAGTGCTCCCAGAAACAGTCGTGGAACAAAACCACAATCAGCTCATGTACTCTGCAGAGCACGACAGAAAAGGCTCGGGGAGGATGTCGTTGTAGGACATTATTGGTTTTTTGGATGACTCTTAAAACCTATAGCTGATCTATCAGGAAGCAGCTGCTTTGCTCATTTACTGGGTCTGGCTGCTAGAAAGGAGATCTTAAGTACGTTTGACTCTTTAGGGCTACACCAGTCTGTCACAGAACCCCTTTGCAGCCCCGTATCTCTTTATAACAGCATAATGCAGGTCACGGGAAAAGGGACAGGAAGGTCAATGAAGAGGACGCTATGGAACATGGGCCAAGGGCACCAGGGAGCACTGGGCCCACACCCTGCCCCCCAGGGTTCTCGTCTCTGCATGGAGGTGTCCTCTCCTCTGTCCTCTGGGCAAAGCCCCCCGGGCCTGTCCATCTCCACATGTTCTCGTGTTCCCAAATTACCCCTCTCACCCACCCTTCCCACCAAGCTCCAGTAAGAGGATTTTATAAAGCAGCAGTCTTCATAGGTGACTCCCCACAAGGTGTTCGTGACTTAGAAATAACACCAACAGGATAGATCTGTGCTCAGTGGCCGCCTTTCCTAATAAGGTGAGGTAAAACCTGGTTTGGGAAGAGAGGAGAAATCTCTCCTGGCATTTGCAGCCCTGACTTGCGTTCCTGAGATGCACGTTCCTATGGTAATTCCGTGGAAATGATGACTGCTATCACAAGCTGGTCAGGGAAGACAGGACCCCTCGAATATTCCAGCAGGGTCTGCCTCAGCTGGGAAATTGTTAGAAAGGCAAGTACCTCCGGCCTCACCCAGACCCACGAGATCAGGGTCGCTGGCGCTGGGCTTAGCACAGCGCTTGTAACCGGGCGTCCAGGGGACTCCGCTGCTCACCGATGTTCCAGAAGTGCTGCTCTAACCCAAGTGTGGGTGCACACCTCTTCCCTCAGCCCTTGACTCATAGCTGGATCCCTTACATGCCACTTTCCTGAGGGCAGAGGCCCCCAAATGCAAAACAGGGGTTTAGTCAGGAAAACGTGGGGTAAATCAGACCATTTTCTCTAAGGAAGAATTTCTCAGAGGCTTTCTTATGCTAATAAGCATTTTCATTCTACAGGAGGGAGATAGGCTATGCGATGCTTTCCCACCTTATTGGATTAAATGGCCCCTTTCCCCAGGGGATCTCACCGAATCACTAGTGTTCTGTGGAATACACCTGGGAAAATGATGGACAACAAAAGGAAACAAGAGCAGTGACGCGAAAATGCAGTTTGGTGGATTACCCTGAGCCCTGTGTCACCGCAGTTCCCACACATTCATTTACGTGGGTCATTCATTCAAGGTTCACTGAGCATCTACTACAGCCAGTGCTATGCTGGGTTCTGGAGATGCAGACTCGAATACCGAACCTATCAGCCAACTCCAGCTCAGGGTGCTGAGCGAGCGCCGTGATAGAAGGATGGGCAGATTGGTGTGGAGGCACAGAGGAGGAGCACCCTCCTCCACCCGGGGCTCTCAGTCGGGCCGCGCGGCCACCTGTGCCCGCCTCCCCGCTCCACTGGACTTGCTGTTGGCAGGGCGGGAGGCCTGGATGCAGGGCGGAGCAGTCCCTCACAGCTGCAGGGCGGAGAGCTTTTATCGACATTACTGATTCAGTGCTCATAGCGATCCTGTAGGAGAGCGTACTTGCTTCCTACGGCCACTGTCACAAATTACCCCAAACGCTGTGGCTTAAAACAACTCAAATGTATTATCTCAGGGTTCCGTGGGAGAGAAGTGCAACCCAGGTCACCCTGGGCCAAAAGCAAGGCGTTGGCAGGGCCTGCATTGCTTTTAGGGAGGCTCTGGGGGAGAATCCGTTTCCTTGCCTCTTCCATCATCCAGAGATGGTCACCATTTCTCTCCTCAAGGCCCTGCCTCCTTCTTCACAGCCAGCTACATTGCATCTCTGTGCTTTCTTCTGTAGTAACACCTTTCTCTTCCTCTTTTTTTTTTTTTAAGATTTTATTTATTTCTTTGCCAGAGAGAGCACAAGCAGGGGGAGCGGCAGGCAGAGGGAGAGGGAGAAGCAGGCTCCTCACTGAGCAGGGAGCCGGATGCAGGGCTCCATCCCAGGACCCTGGGATTTTGACCTGAGCGGGAGGCAGACACTTAACCCACTGAGCCAGCCAGGCGCCCCTCCTCTTCCTCTTTGAAGGACCCTTGTGATTACACTCAGCCCACCAAGAGAAGCCGGGATCATCTCCCCATTTTAAGGCCAACTGAGTAGCAAACTTCATTCCATCTGCAACTTTAATTCTTCCTTATGAAATAACATAACATATTCATAGGTCCTGGGGATTAGGGTGTGGAAATCTTGGTGGGGCCAGTATCCTGCTGACCTTGAAAAGGGGATAGCCTCATTATCCTTGAGACCAAGAGGACACTGGAGCTCAGGGAGGTAACAGCATTTGTGAAGGACTTTCAGAATCTAACGCTGGATCTCAGGGCTCTAAATCCTGTAGGGTTTTCCCTCTTGATATTGCTTTGCTGCTCCTGTTATCATTGGAGCTAAAATTGCAATTGCAGGTTCTGGTAACTAAGTATAGAACTAGAAAGGCTCTGTGAGACCTGTGAATGAAACAGGATCACCGAAGCTCTCTTATTAATGATCAAGTAGCTATTGAATTTTTTCCATTTCCTTTAATGCAGATCTTGACTCTATCTTTACCATAAAAACAAATCCAAAAAGCCCTATTATTGTATTAGTTGTACATCCTGACTCCTCCTAAAAGGAGATCGATGTGTATCATAAGCTGTATGCTTCTGGGCCGCTGTTATTTGTCACATTTTCATTCTGTTCCCTTTTACACTATATCTACAGACCACTGGTTCTAAGCCTACCTTGGTGACACCCCATTGTGTCAGAGGGCTTTATGAAATTCCCTGAGCAAATTCAATTTATTTTCATGTGCAAAGTAAGTATGCGTGGTGCCATGCTTTTAGAAGTGGAGTTGTAAAACCGAACAATGGTAGGCTGATAGGATGCCAGAAAAGTTGGCAAATGGCCTCTTAACACAGAATCTATTACATTTGGATATTGTTGCCAGGACGGGGGAAGATGGGGGACCTGGCTTTTATTGCGAGGCTTTGTCCCCGGGCACCTGGCTATGTTCTTCCACACATAAGCAGCAGTGGGACTGAAGGCATAAATAATTTCTAAATTACTTACCACTCTTAAGTAATGGAAATTAAACTGGGGGGAGATAAAAAGTCACGCTGGCTCAGAGACCCCCAAGCAATGTGGCTGCTGGTCTGGTTTCTGGAGGTTTCTGGTTCAAGGAGGAAGTGCCCCCTCTCAGTAGAATGTGCCACTGAGCCAAGCCAGGGCTTGACAGGGCAGGACACAGAAGACACAAGGCCCGGGGTTCCTGGCTGGCTTTTAGGATAGGTCTTACGTACTGCAGAGGCTTGGCACTGAACGTGGACAGGAGATCGAAAAACCAGAAGCAATCTTCTGTGTTGGGGTCCTTGCTTCATCAGTTACTGTGAATTTTCCCTTCCTTTAATGTCCTTGAGTCTCAGTTTTCTGAGAACACATCAGGGCACCTCTTCACAAAGCTTATGTGGGGACCAGTCACAGAGGATGAGAAGGTACTTTGTAAAGAAGCAGGCTGGAAACATACAAGGTGCTGTCCTAGCAGGCATTAATCTGGGCCCACCACGAGCCCGCCCCCCACCCCGGGGGCCCCAGGCCCCATCCCAACCCTCCCCCTCTCCCAGGGGGGCCTGAAGGGACACCAGGTAGGGGCTCACAATGTTCCTTTCCTCCTTTAAAGTTACTTCATATTAAGGACACATTAGGGACAGAAAGGGAAGATAAAACAGAATTTAAGCAATTCATAGGAAATATGCTGCATAAAACAATGAAACATTGTGATCTACACTGCAAGAGTCTCTAGGCAGTGAGGAGCATGGTTTTAGAGATGCTGCCTGACACTGCCGTGTTTAGATGGGAGCTTGAACATCTTCCTTAACCTCTCTGTGCCACAGTTTCCTCATCTGTGGAATGGGGAAATAATAGGACCTATCCCAGAGGGTGGTTGTAAGAATTAAATGCATTCACACATGAAAGGTGCTCAGCATTATGCCTGGAAACTTAGAAGTGTATCATTGTTAGCTTTCATTATTATTATTATTATTATTATAGGACTTTTTCTAAGGATTTTATATCAGATATAATCATATACTTGCCCTTTACCTCCTAACCTCATTTCCCCTCCCTGCCCCAAGCTATATATTAAGTGCGTTGCCTTTGAACTTCTGTAATAATACATGCGGTTCAAATAAGGAGATCAAATACATGTTTTGAGCTAAAGAAACACATCCTGAAAATTTCATAGTTTGACTGGTCCAATGCCACGTGGACTGAGCAGCAATTGTATTCTTCACTTGCTGAATAAACTCTTAAATGCGTCAGAAGAACAGAAATGGAAACAATACGTGGGAAAGCGAAAATCCTTTCAATGTTTGTGTTCCAGAGAATTAGATCTAAGAGAAACAGTAAGTTCCTAACATACATGCGCTCCCTTGTTCTTTCTGATTCTGTCCACAGGTTTGGGAAGTCCCAAAGCTATGGTCACATTTAGAAGGAGTGGCATGTTCTCTGGAAAACAATTAAACTTGTTAGTGCAGCAAGGAAGAATCTCACAGCTGGGACTCTGAGGGCTAATGCTAGATGGGAGGAATTTTCACACCAAAGAGATTAAGCACCAAACTACGCAGGGCAAGAAGGATACCTGCAACTCTCAGGAGCAGGTGACTACCTGGTGTTTGGCCACTCTGGTCTTACATTCCCTAGTCATAGCAAAAGGCCTCCCTGAGAAAATCTAAAAAAGAATTCGGGCTGCCATCTTGTGGCCAAAAGGAGCCAGTAAGGGGCCAGGTCAAATGAACACGTAGGCTTGACACATCTGTTTTGCAGCCCTCTTGCCATTTTGCTCACATTGATGATGACTCTGTCAGCGCACGAGCCAACATCAGCTGGTCTCTACCCTTCCTGGGACGGTCCAGTTTCTGAAACGAAAGGTAGGAAGGATTGTTGAGTCATCTCAGCCACAGGGCTCAATGTAGGAACAGAAGACCACAGGGAGGTAGGGCCCGGAGGCTTGGTGGCAATTCCGTGACTTCATTCACTCATTAAGCCACCATTCGTTGCCTATGTACTTACTGAGTGTGTCAATGTGTGAGGGCCACAGTGATGACCAGGGCAAAACCCTGCCTTCCTTGAGTTGACCCCAGAATGGCATAGGGAGGTTATCTGCAGGTGCTGTACGTACCTAGCATCAGATGCTTCCCCACACTTAGCGGCCAACAGGAAGGAGGCATACAAACAAGATCAGTGAAAGGAGAGAGCAGAGGTGGGCGGATTCCTGGCTCCCTTTCTTCTCTCCGGGCCAGAGCGTCGGAGTTGGGTTGGGGCTGGGGACAGGGAGGGGAGGACCAATCTGACTTTCCTTCCTCACACCGCCCCACCCCCCCCACCAGGCTGAGGGTTGACATGGGGAGGATGCTGTGCTGGCCGGCACCAGGCAGTCACCCTGAGGCCACAAGGCAGGCGGGGAAGCTTCCGGGCTGGGATCGCGAGGACCTTGTTGGGGGGGGCACTCACACCTCTTCCCTTGGTACTTCTGTTTTCTCCTTTTCACATTTCCTCCTTCTCTCTCTGGTGGTCTTTTTTTCTCCTTACATCCCCTTTTCTCTCTCTTTTGTCTTCTTCCTCTGTCCTTTCTCCCTCCTATTCTTCTACTTTATTCTTCCTGTCTTTCCCTTTTCTCTTCTCTTTCTCTTCCTTTCATCTTTAAAAACCTTCTCTCCCGGAGTGCCTGGGTGGCTCAGTCGTTAAGCGTCTGCCTTCGGCTCAGGTCATGATCCCAGGGTCCTGGGATCGAGCCTCGCATCGGGCTCCCTGCTCGGCAGGAAGCCTGCTTCTCCCTCTCCCACTCTCCCTGTTTGTGTTCCTTCTCTCCCTGTGTCTCTTTGTCAAATAAATAAATAAAATCTTTAAAAATAAGTAAATAAAAATCTTTTCTCCCTTTCTCCATTCCCTCCTTTTCCCCCTGACTTACCTGCATCTTTCACTACTTCCTCTTGGTTTTTATTTCTGGCCCCCCTTCCTCCCCTTTCATACAGTATCAACTTATTACCAAGGGCAAGCCTGCCTGTCAGAGGCCTGCAGTTCTCCCTGCCCATCGGCGTGCACACAAATCTTCTTCGACCTGGGTTCTGGGGACACGGTAACTTGGCCCCGTCCCATTCCTGGTGGTGTGCCGCGGCCCTTTGCACTTAGGGATGGGGGGCTCGAGACAGGATTGACATCAAGTTTGGGAAAGGTCGTTCCAAGTACTTTAGGCTGCATGTGTCCAACGCCCTTCTCTCTTTCCTAGTCCCTGCCTTTATAACTACCTCTGCATTCAACAAGGAGAGAACAAGACAAGCTGCCTCTCCACAGTGGTCTACAGTCACAGAGGACGCCGGGTAATTTAGTGTTTTTGTTTTGTATGGTTTGGTTTGGGTTTTTCAGCTTATGCTTTTCCAGGTGTATGGCCAAGTCAGCCCCCAAAGCTTGTCTTAGTGTGATGGGGGTTCTTCTCTTACTTGTTTGTTGACTTTGGGTAAAACATGACTCTTTACCACAAAGCTGGGACCTGCTTGTCTCTTCCGTTTTTGTGAGGCTGCAAAGATTTGTCTCTGAGGTCTCATCAACAAGAAACACGCTATATAAAATGATGGTATCACTTCAGCAATCATACTCAGGATGTTCCTCTTAGAGTCATTAGGAGAATATGGACTCTAGCACCACCTGTGTTTGGTTAATTTGAAAGTGGCCCACACATCAGCTCTGAGAATTTCTGTCAGGACAGAAGGCACAGCCTGGGTAAGCCATGGTTACCTGAAGTCCGTTCTTCAGCTGTCAGCAGAGGGACCCCAGTCTGCTGCATGTTCAGACCACCCCCACCACGGCCATGCACTAGCCGTAAGACCCTGGATGTGCTGTCCTGCCTCAGGTTTTCTTCTTGAAAAATGAGAACATGAATGCCTACCACATGGCGTTGTAAGGAGAATTTAATGAGAAAATAATGAAGAGATGTCTGGGTTAAGCTGTCTGACTAAAGTTAATTGAAGCTTCGCCATAGAATTTCTTACCTCACTACCTAACGGTACCTAATAAATGGTCTACCCCTGTTAAAGCTCGCGGAAGCAGACCCTCCAATCACTTTCCATCTAACCTAGGACAGCTCATAATTCTATGGATAAGAAACTAGCCCAGTGGAGCTTAATTAGAACCAAAAACACAACATGCAGGAGTTTTACTATGTTTTGCTTCCCTGAAGAATTGTAAAATTCTGTTGCTTTTTAGTACAAGACTCTAAAGTATTCACCCATGTCTGGATGCTCCCCCCAGGCCTTCGGAGTCTAGTCACTATAGTGCTAGAGATTTCCACAGTTCAGTGTAAGGTGACACTAGGCTCTGTCACAGAAAAACGTCTCCAGCTTCCCATTTCCTTTTATCTATGATGCCCAATAGAACTTTGATGCTTGGATTCAAGTCCAAACTCATCATTAGCCCAGATCCAGCAGGTGAGCCAGCTGGGGAGCATGGGGAAGGTCCCTGGGAACATCTGTGGGGCAGAAAGTCATGGGTGTCGGGCAGGGCACTGAGGACCAGCCCTCTAGGGGCTCACACGTTCTCAGACTTAAGACTCAGCAAGTTCTTACTCAATTTCTCTTATTCTTTATCAGCAAAGTTATTAAGGGCTATTTTCTTACTGAAATGTGCTTTTTATACACAATGTGGTGGTTAGATTAGATAGGAAACAGTATATCCAAATTTCTGCAGACTCCTGTTGACCAGGTAACTCAATCAGGGGTTGGAATAGAGCCCCAAGCTTCACTGTAGTTGCCAGTCGGGCACCGTCCATCATCACAGTTCGGCAAATGAGAAACTTTACAAGGCATTCTGTGGCCGGTGCATAGCCTGTGAGGATGCACCAGACCACGTTCTCCAGTCCATCAAATGTCCGTGGGGCTCGCAGGCTTCCTAAGACTTTACAGCGTTAGGCTGTCTCTCATTACGGCAGGGGCAAGTGTCCCGTTTTCTGCTCTAGATACTGTATGGAGTTCAAGACAGAGTCATTGACTCATCACTGCGCTATGGAAAATCACCCCCTGACTCGATGGATGCAGTATCTCCGAGAGGGGTACACAGTGTGCGTTGATTGTCAACCCCCAGCTATGAACTCTGTGAGCCTTCGCTGTTCCGGAGATGGCCTGGACTCAGATGGGTAAGGGAGGAACACTGGTTGAAGGACGTTCCTTATTTTTCATTTGGAGAGATCTGTCCTGTGTCCCGAACAGCAGACTGTTACGTAGCATATCAGGGCGTGATTTGGGAGTCTAAACACCAAGTAAGGAGAACCCTCTGTCTAGCGATTCCTGAATCCAGGGCCCAGTTTACCCTATGGGACTCAGAGGCTCTATAGCAGAGATGAGTGGGTAAATTTGGATATAGGGGTTCATATCATGCTCCCAAATGACCACTGGAAACCTGATCACTCCAAAGCAGTGTTTTGAAAACCACTTGAATCAGAACCTCTTGGGATGGTGATTCAAAAAATTCAGATTCCTGGGGCACCTGGGTGGCTCACTTGGTTAAGCGACTGCCTTCAGCTCAGGTCATGATCTCAGGGTCCTGGGATCGAGCACCATGTCGGGATCCCTGCTCAGTGGGGAGCCTGCTTCTCCCTCTCCCTCTGCCCCTCCCCCCCGCTCATGCTCTTTCTCTCTCTCATAAATAAAAAGTCTTTTAAAAAAATAAAACATACAGATTCCTGAGCCCCACTTGAGATGAACTGAATCAGAATCTTTGGGGGTGGATTTTTTTTTTTTTTAAGATTTTATTTGAGAGAGACAGAGATAGAGAGAGATAGGGCATGGACGGGGAGGAGAGGGAGAAGCAGGCTCCCCACTGAGCAAGGAGCCCCATGTAGAGCTCGATCCCAGGACCCTGGTATTATGACCAGAGCTGAAGGTGCTTAACCGACTGAGCCACCCAGGTGCCCTGGGGGTGGATTTTTAACCATCTTTTAGGTCAGGAGTTGGCAGGTAGTCGATAATTTCAGCTTTGTGGGCTCTCTGGTCTCACTGCTCAACTCTTGCTATCACAGCATGAAAGCATCCCTAGACTCTATGTGAACAGATGAGCTTGGCTTTGTTCTAAAAATACTGTATCGGTCGGGGCGCCTGGGTGGCTCAGTCGTTAAGCGTCTGCCTTCGGCTCAGGTCATGATCCCAGGGTCCTCGGATCGAGCCCCACATTGAGCTCCCTGCTCCGCGGGAAGTCTGCTTCTCCCTCTCCCACTCCCCCTGCTTGTGTTCCCTCTCTCGCTGTCTCTCTCTCTGTCAAATAAATAAATAAAA